GGGAAGTCAGTCCACTGACAATTCCAGATTGTCTTTCCCTCGGTGAGCTTCTTCTTGATCAAAGAAATGATGACTGAAAGGGTTTTGTACACTAGCACTAACACAAAGGTCACTCGGAAAGGTCAAGTTTGCCAGTTAGTACATGTAATGATTCTTCCAGCCTCTGCTCTTCCTTTTGTATGCTTGCCCCAATGACCAACAACAGCAGATGCCAGCAGTGGATTGTACCACACTTCTTAGCACTCCATGTCTCCAGGAAGTGACCATTCTTCCTAGGCAGGTCTTGCCACCTAATAGGATGCTTACAGAGGAAATGGTGTTAGGAAGTAACCTTTGAATGACTAAGGGACCACAGCCAGATAGGGGCTTTATGAACTCTAAAACTTTCATCCAAGTTGGAAGGGCTATTTCTCAAACCCTAAATCAAGGAAGTTTTAGTCCATTACCCTTCAATACTCCAGTCCTGGACTCACACGCTCCAGCTTTTCTATATGCACACACAAACAGGAAAAGCCTCCCACTCCAAGCCCTAATCATCACCCAAACTGTAAATTCTGGACTCAAACTTATCAACAAAGGTGAACTTGCTTTTAGCCAGGTATGCCAAGGAAGGCAAGGAAAAGCCACATGACTACAACACAAACAATAAATAATCACCAGGGGAGGCAAACAGTACTAAAAGCAGAGACCAGGGCTTCTGCAAGTGCAAAGCTCGCCTTATGGAACAAAGCCTATCAAAGCAGACGATACCCACATAAACCCCCACAAAAAGAGCAGAAAGCCAAGATTAAGCCAGAACTAAAAATGGGCAAGCTGGGACCCCTGGGTTTCATGAATAGCACAAGCAAAGCTGATAGTCCCAGCTGCCTCCCAGAAAGAGTCATAGTCTGGCTAAGTTCAAAAAGTCAACCCAGACTCTTCTCTCCATCCCAGGAAGGCAGGCCTGTGCAGCAGATGTTAAGTGCCTGCCCAGATACTGGCATCCCTTCTTTTCAGACAGATACTTTGTACACAGCACAGCTCCAGGGTCCAGTGGCTTAAGAGGTTTAGAAGGATGCTAATCAGACAAGATGCTGTAAAGGTCACTGGAGGTTTGGAGAGTGATTAAAGGGTGGTTCTGCATGGCTCTCTTCTATTCCTCTCTTTTTATGTTTTAAGTACTTATTGCATATTTTATTTCTGCTGGGGAGTTTCATGTGTGTGAAGTACTTCAGAAGCCAGAAAAGGGTGTCAGATCCCCTGAATCTGGAGTTTCAGGTGGTTGTAAGCCATCCAACATAGGTTCTGGGAACTAAACTCAGGTCCTCTGGAAAAGTAAAGTGCTCTTAGCTGGCGAGCCATTTTCCCAGCCCTCTCTCTTATTTTGATACAACAGCAACAGCATGTAAGCACCATTCCTAACAACAATACAGAAGGAAAAACCAAAATGTTCATCTCAAACAGTAATTTACAACAAAGTAACTACTAACAAAGGCTGTCACAACTCACCACAGAAACATTTTTGTTTCTCTGGAAACCAACATCTTTTTAAAACTTCAGAGTCCAAGTCATCAGTGAGAAAACTGAAGCATGGAGGCATTGATCCAAAATCAAATGACAAATTCATAGCAGAAGGCCTGTAAGTAGCCATAAATTCTCCTGGCTCCCTACTACATGCATAAGCTGATTCCAATACCGCCCCTTCTGTAGACCCTCGCTTGTCTCTCAGTATCCCAGGACAGCTCCCAAAACCCCACAGCCAGTTACTGACCCTTATTGACATCTAAAAATCCTGTCACTCTCAAGCTTATTTTCAGATACCTGAGAAGGTGGTCATCACATCTGAGAACACGGTACCTAATCCCTGATCTCCTTGCCTGCAGTGTCCCCTACTGGCAGCTTCAAGCTACATGTCGCTCGTTTTCCTCCACTGGTGAAAAGCCTGGAACAAAGTATTTCCATTCACCATGACATTGAACGGCTTCTTCTAGTCGGGATTTCTGAAAACTAGACTCTTCTCACTTCACACCGTCTAGCCATGCCCTGTTGTCAGCATCACACCACAGACATCATTTCTAATGGCCTGTCCCTGACCTAAGCACCCTCACTCCATGATATCCCCTCTCTCTTTGAGGTAATTGCTCCATCTCTCTCTCAGTGCTGTTCCTTTGGTCAGTTCTGTGAATGTTTCACCTTAAGCTGAAATATGGTGTCACTTGTCTTATTTATGAAGAACAGTTTCATCCTATTCAAAAGATACTCTGCTGCAATACTTAAGGAAAACGGTATGTCTCATGTAGCATACCATTAATGGAGCCTTCAAAACAAACTATAACTTTCTGTATGGTCTATGTAAGTTGAATCCTAAAAATCAAGCCAAGTAAATTTGTATTGGCAAGTTGTTTTCTATTAAGATTCATAGCATTTTATTGGACACTTTTCAGTGAGTCAATACTATGCAAGCAATTAATCCCCAGAAGTGTGCTTGCTGCCCTCTGGAGCTGCCTGCATTTATGTTCTGACCAAGGCCCATATCAACCTCCGAGCACCATGAATCTTAAAGATATGATCACAAATAACACTATCTTTTTTGAGTTTCTTCCTTCCTTTTTTCCTTCTTTTCTTTTTCTTTTATTTTTTTTTAATTTTTGTTACTATGTAGCCCCACCTTGGTTTCTCCAATGCTGAGGTTTAGCAGTGTGCACCCCTGGACCATCATCCCCTTCCCCCTGAATTTCTGCTCTCTTTGTGTTTGACAGTGGACTGACCAAAATCTAACAGACTTCTGGACCATGGTGGTGCACGCCTTAAATCCCAGCATTCAAGAGGTGGAGGCAGGCAGATCTCTGAGTTTGAGGCCAGCCTTGGCTACAGAGCATGTTCTAGGATGGCCAGGACTACACAGAGAAACTCTGTCTCCAAAAACAAACTCTAGCAGACTATATACTGTATCTATCACCAGTCTGAGGGATTATCAACAGTATGGAAACAAAGTTAAGTAGACAGGACTTTGCTCTTGATTCATGCATTCCATGCATTCCTGTCCTTCCCCTTGACTGCTCTGAGCTCTCCTGATGGTACTGACCATGGCTCGGTTTTATAAAAGAAGGCTTGAACATAGAATCCTGTGATACTTTGGAGGACATTAAACTACATCACAGCTATTTCACTGAGGCAGCCAATCAGTGCTACGATACCATGCCAACAATCTCCGAATCCCTGATCCTCATATCTCATGACAGACTAGCACCAACTAAGATTATCCCAAACCTAGATAACAGGCTTCAGCCAATAATTTTAAGATGAAATTCATTTCAAGGTGAACATTAATAATCTGTATTTCCTCTTATATATAACATGAAAGTGAAGTTTCTTCACTGGGGGTGGGGGGATATTGTCTAGGGAAAATACCTTTCTGGATAAATGTACTTTATATGTCTCTATAAAACAATATATAGAGACAGCAATTAAATTTCAAATAACAGAAATTCTTATCATTTATTCAGGATGTATGGTAGCATTATCTGAATTTTATGGATAAAGGTACTAAAACCCTGAGAAGTCAGCAGAGGAGCCCAGTAAGCAGAGCACAGACATGCTTCCAGGTCTCTTCCCTCTGCACTGGGTCAATTTCCCTAATATATGTGTCTTAGAAACAGACCTTGCCCCTGGCAAATTCTTTATATGCACTTCAACATACCTCAAATTTGCTGTAAGTCAGCCAAGGGTGACAGACAAGAAGATACTTCTCAGCACGTTCCCTTATCTGTCACTCCCAGCCCTGCCCCACCACCCAGCCACATCCTCAGGTCACATACCTTTTCCCCAGGTTTCATTTCTGGGGTTTTCCTACTTGGGTCTCTATGTTTGTTTTCATTTTAAAAAATCTGTTAGTAGCAAGAATCGAGCAGGGCATGGGTAGAGCAAAGAGACATCCCAGCACCTGGACTCATGGAAGTGTGGTTGAAAATAGGGTCCCAGCAAATTATATTAACTCCATAAGAATTTCATAAGGAGATTACTTACAGATAAGTATTTCCCTTTGTCAGGTGGCATGTCTCTTTATTAAGAGCCATTGGTGTCACTAGACTTGGAGGAACAAGGAAAGGACCGAGAGGGGAGAGCATTTTCCCATTATTTAGAGGGATTCATCATGACTGTGTATGCTCTATGTGAAGAAACGCAGATACAGTCAGGGAATTTCATGAAATGATGTATTCTTTGTGAAACTCCTTCAAGAAAGAATACAGGAGCTGTGAGGCGGTGGGGGGAGGGGGAAGATGTGTACTCATCACCAAGAATGAGAGTGGCCATCAGTCAAGGTCCTGAGAGCTAACGCCCTTGTCAGGACAGCTACTCTCAATAGAGGCATGGGCTGCGGCTGTCCTAAGTCCAGCATCCTTCCTTTGCTCTCAGAGCCACCCACCCTTCCCCAACCTGCTGCACCCTTGCAAGATGCCCTGACATTATCTTTGCAGTCATGGCTCTTCTGTTGCTAACTGTTAAAACTGAAACCTTTTATAGTGTACATAAGCCAGAGGTGACACAATTAAATGAAACTATTTGTCATATAAAATTTACATCAGCAGGAATTAAATGTCAAATAACTTAGGATTGACAGCCTCCACTGAGTCATAAAGACTCTAAATTAGTCTTGTGAAGGGTGTTCGCACACAATTCCTAATAAACTCCACTCTGCCTCGGACGTACTCTCCAAAAGTGCCGAAAGGAGAATGTCAATGATGAGATTGTTGAATCTCTCACAAAAAAAGTTGAATGGAGATTAATAAGTCATCCCTTACATACTTTGAAGCTTTCACAATGCAGGACACACACAGAGTATAAACCAGAATTCTGTCTTTGATGGCTGACAATCAAGTCATGTAGCTCCCAGTAACCCACATCAGGTGACTCACAACTCCAGCTCCAGAATACACAGTGCCTCCCTCTGGCCTCTTCCAGCACTGCACTGTGGTACAAAGACATATGTGTAGACAAAAGACCCATATACATAAAAGCAATTAAAATTTTTAACTAATATATGGTTTTAATTTTTAAGGAATCATACTGTGACTGTTAACCACATCTCTTTAAAGACTTATTTTCCTTTTAATAATATGCACACGTGTATATCCATGTGCAGTCATGTGCCTGTATGAAAGCCAGTACCAGCAGAGTCCAGGAGAGGATGTCACAACTCTTAGTTAACTCTAAATGTTAACTTGTAGCAGCCGTTGGTTTTGTTTTCTCTTTTCTTCAAAATAAGATTAGATTCTGATGACCTGGGGTGAATAGCATACTGCTCATATGCTAAAGGTACTGGGAAAATATGGATACTGACAACATCTATGGCTTCAAGTAATCTTTACAGTAAATTATATAAGTGGAGGTTGAAAAATCATTCCTCAGCTAAACGCCTTAATGGAAAGGATGAGGCTAAATGTGTGTGCGTATGAGAGAAAGGGGGAAAGGAGATGGAGAGAAAGAGAAGAAGAACAAGAAAGAACCCCTGGACAGTGAGGAGAGTGGACAGTAAGGTATTGGTGTGCAGCACATTACGTATCACACATCACTGAGCTGGATCTAGTCTAGTATAGCACAAGGACTTATATTCAGTTCTTAAGGGGAGAGATCTGAATGCAGGAACAAAAGTAAAGCATTGTTGTGACCTACAAACACCCTGACTCACACCTGCACTAACGTACGTAGACGAGGACTGGAGGGTAGGCTCTGCATGTGAGAAAGAACATGTGTAATTTCCTGTTCCTTGTCTGGGTTGCATCACTTAATATAGTAATCTCAAGATCCATCCATTTCTTTCAAATTTTCTTCACAGGTGAACAATGCTGTTTATTCGAACTGCGTCTCCCATGTGCAATCAGCCGTCAATGGACAGGCATCGAGGCTGCTTCCATCCCGCATACTGTGACTGGAGCAGGTCTGAGCGTGGATGCACACATATGCCTCTGCTGCATATATGCCCAAGAGTGGTACAGCTGATTCAAGTGGCAGTTCTGACTTCAGGTTTTTGAGAACTCCACAGGGTTTCCATACTGACTTCAACACTTTACACACGCACCAGAAGACATGTTCTCACCCAGTATTCATCCCAATTCACTTGCTTGATGGTATTCTTTCCGATCATTGTGAGCTGAAATCTCAAAAGCAGTTTAAATTAGTATTTCTCTGATGTGCCCATTTGTATTTTCTTCTTTTAGCAAGCATACGAGGCAGGACAACTGAAATGATGGATGATAAGGTCACAAAGTAACATAGCACTTGCTATGCCAGTGGTTCTCAGCCTTCTTAACGCTGTGACCTTTTAATACAGTTCATCATGATGTGGTGACACCCAACCATAAAATTATTTTTGTTACTGCTTCATAACAGCAATTTTGCTACTGTTGTGAATTGTCATGTAAATATCTGTGTTCTGATAGTCTTAGGTGTGATCCCCTGTGAAAGGGTCATTCAACCCACAAAGGGGTCACAATCCACAGTTTGAGAACCATTGTCCTATGCTGATTTATTTTAAATTATCCTTGAGAAGAAAAGCATCATTTTTAAAGAACTTTAAACTAAGACGCAGAGGCTTTGGCTCAACAATAGAGGATGCGGCTGACATAATGATCTCGTTCCTGGGGTGAGAGAGATGGCTCAGTGATCAAGAGAGCATGTTGCCCTCATAGAAGACCCAGGTTCTGCTCCCAGCATGCGTTCGTAACTATCAGAAACTCCAGTTCCAGGGGATCTGATACCCTCTGATGGCCTCCTACAGCATTAAGCATGCACATGGTACATACACAAATATGCAGATAAATATCCATGCACATGAATAAAAATACTGTTTTAATTACCTCAGTTCTAAGCATCATCTAGTGGCATCAACTTCAGAGTCAACACAAGGCCAGTGCATACCCTTGTCAGGCATCAAAAGTCTATCCAATGGTGACCTCCAGGCAGTGGGACACTGTCAGACAAAATGCAGCAAGATGGTATTTTGACTTGTCATTCATGTTGTTCTCTGTAGTATAAACATCATTATTTTCTTCCTTTCAACATTAAATACAGAGATTAGCTAAAAGGAGATGAAATATAAGACAAAGCTATATTTTGTAAGTGTATCACACAAGGCAAATATACAGATAGAAGGACAAAAGGGGGGTTGAAAGACATGACTTTCAAATTCAAGAGTCAGGTGCCTGACTATCAGTCAAAAACCTTTGACACACTCAAATATAATTACACCCTAACAGAAGCAGCCTAATATCCCTAGATAAATGATGTGTTGGATGAAGCCTCTCAGATGGCAGTTATGCTAGGCTCCTCTTTGCAAGCATAGCAGAGTATCATTAAAAGTGTCAGGGGTTAGCTCTCTCCCTTCAGGTGGGTCTCAAGTTGAGACAGTCAATTTTTGGTCATCCCTCAATCTCTGCTCCATCTTTATCCTCACACATTTTGAAGGCAGGGCAAATTTTGGGCCAAAGGTTTTGTGGCTGGTTTGATGTCCCCCTCCCTACACTGGAAGCCCTATCTGGATATAAGAGGTGACCATTTCAGGCTCCACATCCCCCACTGAGCGGAGTCTCAGCTAAGGTCACTCCCATATCTTCCCAGGAACACACCTACCCCCACACCACCTCCGTCACAGCCAATCATTAGGCAGAGTTCAGGGAGTACTGTAGAGTAGTTGAGAGAAGGATTGGGGGAACCAGAGAAGTCAAGGGCATCACAAGATGACCTACCAAGCTGCCAGGTCCAGTATGGCCTTGATTGGGATAGAACAACAAGGTTCCAACTCCTGGAACAGGGCCAACAGGGCCTGGACCTCCACGAGTGTCAATGGCTGCTGTGGGCGTAAGACTCATTTGTATAATAATGCACATATTTTCTTTTTTTCTTTCTTTTTATTTATTTTTAAATCAAATCATAATTTTTACTTATTCACACAGGGATTATAAACACATAAAGGCAGGACGTGGGGAAGGGGATGACACTGGACCATGGGTGTTGGGGGATGGGGTAGTAAAGATATCTTTCAGAACAGGGTATCAAGCTGGGTGAAGGTTCAGGGGACATGTCATCATGAGATATTTTTAACTTTTATTTATATTCTCTTGCAGTGCTTAGCCTCGCAGCCTAAGCAAGAGTTCAGATCACCAATCAGAGGGGTTCTGGATGGCCCCTCTCTGCTTGGTCTAGGGGCAGAAGTCCCCTCTTTTAGGTTAGGTGGAAATGGGTTTTGAGAACACCCTGGATCGAGTAACAACCTCAGATACATTATCATAAGTTAGCTATGGAGGTTTTGCTACCAAATTATCTATCTGTTGTTTCACAAAGTTAGTCAGCCTATTTAAGGCCCAGGAACCAAAAGAAATAAGCAAAAATATAATAATGTACATATTTTCACATTCCTCCCTGTTAGCATTAATCAGAGTCAGCATGAGTCTGGGAGGAGAAGTTGTGGCTAATGTCTCAGCAAAATGGTAAACTCTGGGACCTTCAGGACAACCCTTAGAGTTGTAGAAAAGAACTATAAAAACATGAGCTCAAAAATACATAATTTCTCAACTCTGCAAAATATAAAGATACAATATGAATTATATGAATGACTTCACAAATCTAAAAGAACAAAAGCAGCTGCTCCATAAGCCAGCTTGTCAGAAAGATACTAAAGGAAAGAAATAAAGAGATTTAGGGAGTGGTGATCAAAGGAGATCCCTCCCAGCCAAGTTTTTTGCTTATGCTTACTAAAGCAGACAGATTCCAGACTTCAAGGTCAGCCTGGGACAGAGAAAGTTCAGGTCCAGGCCCAGGCATGGTAGAAACGGTAGCTAGCTTACCGCCTCTGCTTTTCAAAGTCAGACAGTTCTCTGAATTATTTTGCAATGTTAAAAAAAAAAAAAAAAAGGTGTGTATGTGCTTGCAGTCTACCCCAATCAAGGAGTTGAGGTCATGGGATGTGGATTCATAGGATAATCAAAAGGGAACCTAGAGTAAATGGCTGGATTGGTATGTAAAACTACAAACTGGGCTTTTGGTCTGCAAAGGTTGCAAAGGATTCAGAGAACTGTCAAGTGGAACATAGAGAGAGCTGTCTGGACATCTCCAGAGAAAGCAGAACAGAAGAAAAATCAATCTAGAGAGCTGTCTCGAGCAGAACTTAGGTCATCAGCTTGGACCCATGGTTTTTGCCGCTCTCAAATTACCCCTTCTCTCAGAATTTCTCTCCAAGCTGAGGCTGGTCCTTGGCACAGAGCCAACAAACCTGGGCCTATGGAGGCTCACAGAAACTGAACCACCAACCAAAGACCTACACATTTATAGCAGATGTGCAGCTTGGTCTCCATGTGGGTCCTCTAACAATTGGATCAAGGGCCACCTCTGACTGAGACTCTATTGCCTGCCTTTAGATCCCTTTCCCTTAACTGGGCTGCCTTGTCTGGTCTCAGTGGGAGGGGATGTGCTTAGTCCTGTTGGGACTTGATGTGCCATGGCAGGTTGGTACTTCTCTAAGGAGAAGGAAGGAAGGAAGGGGGAGGGTAGGACTGGGAGAAGAGGACGGTGGGGGACTGTGATCAGTATGTAAAGTGAATAAATAAATTAATGAAAATACTAATGTAATGGAGAGAGAGAAAGCATGATAGGTAAGAACTAGGTAGCTCTCAACCCAGGGTTTCGGAGGCTTAACCAGGTGGTCCAAAGGCTGGCCCTCCTGAGAAAGGGGATTGCAGTGAACTAGGTGTAGCAGGGAAGTAATGATTTCCAGTGAAGCAGCTTTGACTCACAGACTGAAAATCACCTGTGTTTCAGCATTGTTGTCCTTCACAGCACAACCTGAAGCCTGTGCTCAGTCGTGAATCCACAGAGAACTAAGCTACCATTACTTACAAAGGAAGCCTGTCTGACACTAGAGCCATCATTACTTTCCTTCCCTGTCCACTTTTTGTGAAAAGTCCAGGAAATTCCCCTCCTCCTCTTCTCAAGTAATCTACACACAGGGTTATCCTTTCTTCTTCTGAAATGTTGTGGAAATACCTTTTTAAGAAATACTTTGCATTCTCAAACAGGCAAAAGGGAGGGGGAGGGCAGATGTGGGATACGGGATGGCAGAGGGGTAACTGGGAAATGGGATATCATTGGAGATGTAAATGAATGGAATGATTAATAACTTTTTTAAAAAAGAGAAATACTTTGCAACATGATTCCACCCCTAGCAGTTGGAGAACAAATAGTAGATAAAGTTTGTGCCTAGCAAGCTCAACTCAGAGGAATAAATTTGAAGAGTGAATAGAGCTGTGTCAGAACAAATAAGGAGACAACCTGGGGCCACGTAAGAGATTGGCAGAGCAGCATGGAGAGTGAAGCTAAAGTTGGAAACCACACCTTCACAGTCATTAGTATTTCTCCTCCCGACAGCACACAGCCATCTGGGTACACGAACTGAAAAGCAGATGGCCAAACAGATCCCAAGAAGGGAATGTATAGAAAACTCAGCAAAAGGTCTAAGGGATGAAAAGCCTGGCATGATCAAGACAAAAGAAGGGTCAAGGTGATACCCCATGGCCCAGGAGATACAGAATAGCTATGGCTGCAGTAGAAGCAAAGAGAACAAGAAATAAGTTTTGTGATAGAAAAAAAAAAAAGAAGAAGACTGGAAAGACAGGAGTTTTTGTTGGGTATTGGGTAAGGTAGTACATAATATTTAAGATATTGTCAGTCTTGTCCGGGAGATATGTCTCAGTTGGAAAATTGCTTCCTAACATCCAGAGTCCCCAGTTTGATCCTCAGCACTCCATAACCTAGACACAGTGGCACACACAACAGACACCTATAATCCCATCATTCAGGAGGTTCAACTCAAGGTCATTATAAGCTACATAGTAAGTATAGCCTGAGATACGTAAGAGCCTATATCAAACTTTAAAGTAAAATTTTAAGGCTTTACATCAATTCCTATGAAGGTTTTCAAGGACTAAAACATAACTATGACAGGGGAATATTATCAGTGCTCAGAACCTAATAACCTAACACATATGGTCTAATAAGTACACTGAAATCAATTATAGATGGAGCATGGAGTTGTTTTGGCTTATTGATTACTATCACACTTCAGATGCTCGTGGAGACTTCAAAGACAAAGAAAGATAGCATTCATTCTTTTCCATCTTTGTGTCTTTCTTTGAAGAAAAGTTCTATGAGTTGCCTTGAGCCAACCCAGTTCTTCCTTATTTATCATTTGGAGGTCTCAAAACTGACTGTGGAATGTGTGGGGACTAAAACTTCCTGAGATGTGGAGGGATTGCTCATCAAATCAAGGATTCTATTGCAACCTCTTTAGAAACAGTATTCCAAACCAGAGTCCTGTTGTTCTCCAGGAGAGAGCCCTAAACAGGATGCTTTCCACATTCCTTTGTCTGCAATGTACATGACCTTGGAGGCAAGTCTATCTACCTTAAGCTAGCCTTCCAGGGCCTTGGAAGTGGACTTGCAGACTTGCATCCCAGACTTCTATGACCCCTTGCTGCATATCTGTAAGTAATAAGTCCACTTCAGATAACTTGGGTCTGAGAGTGTTCTGTCTCCCTAGAGAAAGATAAGCTGATAGGCAGTGACAACGAGCCTTCTTCGAGTTCTTCACTGTCTCTTTCCAAATGTCAGGAGCTGGAATTACAGTGACCCACTGTTGTATCGATCTAACCACAGGCAGAAAAATAAAGATGAGTACTTAGAAGGCATGCCGTGGGAAGGCACTAAGATCTCATGCTTTCCACCAAGAAAATGTAAAATTGCTGAACTCAAAAGGCACATCATGTTGCCTACAGGCCAAGCTTGGTGCTGGATACCCAGGAAATGCTCAGTGAAATCGTATTGCTGGAGTGAACAAAAAATTCTAAATCTTCACTCAGAACGAATCTGCATGCTACACACATTTTAATCAGAAGGACCTTCCCTCCAGCTCCCTCATCT